CTCAATACTTAGGCTAGCACCTCCCATGTACCAGCTGCATGACCTTGGGCAAGTAAATTCACTACTCTGATCCACTCTGGACTTCAATAATTAGTGACTCCCCCATCCATCTGAAAGATGGGAATAATGGCCATCCTCATCTTGCAACATTATTGTAGGTATTAAATAATGTCATAGACATAAGCTACTTAGAACAATGCCTGACATACAGGAAGCACTCAATAAATATTAATGTATTATTACTCAAATCTCTATAATCACCAATTAATCTTTTCATATATCAAAATTATAAAGGTGAGAAAAAAGTGAATCTGCATGAAATCTCGGGATTCTTGTGGGTGACACTCTGGAGGGTCGGATATGGGACCTTGGTTAGACCTAGTAGACTAGACTAATTCTCCTGGTCTTGATTTCCCCTCCAGTAAAGTGCATAATAATAAACCATTGTGAAGAGTTTTAAAATAAAATTGGAAAAACCTAGCCCCACGAAGGTAACCAAACCCTGTTAATCCTCTCTCTGCTTTTTCCTGAAGCTGGCATGTTACCTGTATCACCTCTCCCTCTCTCTCTCTGGTGCCCTTGAGACCTTCTTGCTGCAATAGTCAGTGATTGTCCCTCCGTATCCTTGCTTCTCCTGCACTGCTGGCCTACGTCCAGTCATGCTCTTTGTCCTCATGAGGTCTGCCACCACTTCCACTTGAGGCAGCATGGCCTTCATCGCAGCTGGGGCTCTGAAGCTGCTGTTGCTTGGTTAGCAATAGTCTTTCTCCCCACCATTGCATTCTAATCACTTTCTCCACCAAGGTGACCACGTACTTGGTGCTTCCTATACAAATCCCCAAATCCATCTTTATTAAGTGTGTTTTCCCAGTATCTTACCATCTGTCCTCTCCAGGGGCTCATGCCTTAGAGCTAGGAAGTAGACCCTCCTGGGTGGTAGCTCTCAGCATAGCAGTACCACACATCTGCAACCATGCCTTCAACTTCCATAGTATAATTTTCCCCTGGGTGTCCAGGTGAGGTCAAAAGCAGCCTGTCCTTATTTATTCAATCAAGCTTCTCAATTGAAGGGCCAGTCTCTAGTTCTCACATGCACATTTATTTTCCTTTCCAGACGGCTGCTTGCAACAGCCTGGCCGTGACAGCTTTCTTAGGGTGACATCCAAAGAGCTTGCTACCTTAAGATGGGGCAATCAAATTTAATATCAAGATCTGTATTTACAACATATCAAAGCTATGTAATCATGGTACTATTTCTAAATGAAAATTGTTTTCTCTCAAATTACAAATTGTCCCCACATCTTACCAGGTATGCAAGTCTGTGACAGTGAAATCTCTATCCCACATCCACTTTTACTGATGGCTCAATAGTAATTTTGGCAAAGGCCATGAAGTTTGGGCTCCAATGAACCAGGTTCCAAATTGTAGATATTTGGGGGAGTTTCTTGATGTTTCTGAGCCTTTGTTTTCTCTTACTGGGGAAATAATACCTGGTTCCTGGGATTCTGTTGAGGATGATTAAGGGAAACAATGGTTTCAAAGGGCTTTGTGCCATGCCTGGCACATGCTAGGTGTTGAGTAAGTGGTACTTAATTTTTCCTTTCTTCTCCAACAGTGAATTAGATGGTGTTCATATAATGCCAAAGGAGCTTGCTACTTTAGTTTGTCAACACTCCAATAATTTACTACCAATCAGTAACAAAAGGAAAAGTCATGGCTGGGGCTTAATACAGCTTATTCAGAATACAGTCATTTAAGTGTTGCCTGGTTGTGGTTATTGCATTAAGAGCAATAATTAGTGACTCCCACATTTGGTAGAAATAGAAAGTGAAGAGGTAGCTAAATAAAGCCTTGCATTAAGTGCGTTTATTCATTGAAGAAACGAGTGTTTTCTAAATCAGTGCGCATGTGTGTTTATTCACCCTCCTTAATTTTATCACATCTGTCTTTCTCAATTGCTCAGCTGCAACGTATTCTCAAATATTTTATGGTACTTAATTTCAAGAAAATTGTTTCACCATGGTAGCAAGATAACAAATGTAATGAAAAATGTATTAAATATAATTCGCCACCACATAGAAATTTATAAGTGCCATCAATATTTATACAACATTTAAGAGGAAAATCAAAGTTATCTGAGACTGAGGCAGAGAGCATATACACAGAGAGTCCCCTCCTGATAATGAGATTTTCACTGCTTAGATTGGAGGAAAATATTCAGGGAGGTTTCTGTTATATAGCATTTTCTCTATTCTGTTTGAAAATTGCTCTCTAATATAAATGCATCCCAGTGTTCTCATCAGGTCATTACTGTTATTTACCCTCTTAAAACGAGGTTGCCTTTGGCCAAACTATTATAGCATAACAAATGTGATGTATCAAAGAAGGGGGTAGGGAGGAGTTGGACTGAAGATTAAAACATCCTATATAGGTATTCAGTTGTAATCACACAGGAGAGATCATTTGGTAAAAAATGGAGTTCAACTTTTGTTGAGTCATGAGTTAGTAGGGTCTTTTTCCATGGTAGCTATTAAGATTCAGTCATGTTGTCATGAAACGGTATCTTTAAAATAATTGACTAAGGGGGGAGATGTGTTATTTTGATAGTATTGTATTAAACCACCATTGACATGCTATGCTCACATGAAATGTCACAGCCTCATGCCTTGACCTGTTTTGTGCTTGCCTCTATGACACTTGTTCACTTTCACTTGAGAGACAAGAAGCATATGTTCCCTTCAATATCTAAATCACAAAGTACACACTGAAACTCAAGTTTTTTCTTTATCAATTGATTTTAATTTGTTATTTGGAATTAAGGAAAACAAATAATGAAGTCACAACACATTGCCCAGTGGTGGTCAATCCCTCTACTTTGAAAGGCGGGAGTGGTCACAGCATTAATTGTGCAGCAACTGTGCTTGGCATTTTCTATCTGTCACTTCATTTCATCCTTGCAACAGCTGTTTGAGATAAGTATTGCTGCACCATTTTACAGCTGAAAAAGCTGAAGTTTATCACTGCCATACAACTTGTCAATGTCACACCAGAAGTGGCAGAACTGGGGTACAGAGTTCAATTAGAGACTCCTTGGTCTGTCTTCTCCATCATGTCACCTCTCACAGAATTATTGTAATTGTCAACAAAAGTTCCCCCAAACAGTTGGTGGTTTGTTTTCCCCAGTGGCATTGCAGGAGATCTACCACAGAAATAGGTTTTAAAAGCAGAAACACATATAGCAAATAGATGGTATAAGCAATGTTTCTATTTTGGAGAATGAAAATTACAAGAGGCTTAATCTGCCATTCAAATCTGTAATTCTTTGTTTCACTGGTCTTACTTCAAGTCTTTTTCCTCAACATAGGGAAATTCAGATTATGCTATGAGCTCGGAAGCCACAGGTTTCCTAAAACAGTATTGTCTCAGAGAAGAGAAATGATATTGAATACTGCTGGCTGACATTAATCTCAGAACATGTACCTCAATTTCAATAGTTGCCAAAACAAGAAAGAAAAAATATGAAGAGGAGGCAGACTTTAGGGGAGAATGTCATCTCCAGTGTTGCCAAAAGCTGTGTTAGCAAGCAATGTTTATAAACAAGCTCAATTATGCTTTTTACCGCCTCTTCACAGCTGGGTCATCCTGCTGAGTACCATTCTCATCGCCAGATGTGTTGAATCCTCAGTGCAATGTGCAGCTCACAGTGTATCTGACACACACATGTATTGAGTTTCAAGGGTCACCAGTCTCCCAGGTCAGCATTTTTCTCACTTTAAGTAAATCAAGCATGACAAACTGGTATGTAATCTGCTTTTCTCTCTCCCAAATATGCTGTTCAATCAATACAAATTCCCAAAGGGTTACAACAAAGGTGAGCGTTTTCACTGTGGGATGGTATCTCCCAGCCTGAGGCCTCAGGATGGTTGAACAACACTGAACGGACACCCTGGAAATAACATATCACCCCAAGATGACACTCACCACCCTTAAAGTGCTACAAGACCAGAGAGGGCATGGTGGAGAGGCCCACAAGTTTTAAACCATTTCCCCACCTAGCTTTTCACAGACCCTTGAAAATATTTCTCAACGAACAGGCTGTAATATGACATTTTTCAAAGTAGAAAGCACAGCAGAATATTGACTTAAAATTTTGTGATGCAAATAAAACTGTATGACATCTAAATGAGAATCTCCTGATTATGGGAATATACTCATGATTGCCTCAGTCAATGTAAGTAGCATATATGTTTACCTATTAGCAACTGGCTTATTAAAACAGTCAGAAATTGTGTGCATTATACCTGCAACTAGTCCCAGGATCTGTCTCTTTAGCAGAATTGCAAATTATCACATGGTCACTTTTGCAAAGAAAACTCATATCATTACATGTCATTGCTATGTACTGAATGTCTGTGTCCCTCCTCAAAATTTGTATGTTGAAGCTGTAACTTCCAATATAATATTTGGAGATGAGGCTTTGGCAGGTAATTATGGTAAGATTAAGTCATCAGGGTGGGATCTTCACAATGGAATTAGTGCCCTTATAAGGAGAAGAAGAGAGAGATCTCTCTCCATGTGCAAACACCTAAGAAAAGCCATGTGAAGATCTAGAATGAAACCTGCAAGCCAGTAAGAGGGCCCTCACCAAGAAATCAATTGGCTGGCACCTTGATCTCAGACTTCGCAGCCTCTAGAACTGAGAAATAAATCTCTGTTGTTTAAGCCTCTCAGTCTATGCTATTTTGTTATGGCAGTCCAAACAGACTAAGACAGTTATAATTATCACTTCTAATCAAATGTAGCTAATAATGTTACCCAAAAATAAATTTAAAAATTTAGGAGCAATCGGGTAAATTGCTGTGCAAAGTTGTGGTCTGGGTTGGGCCAACTTTAGAATGCTCTGTTCTTACCTAATCAGAACAGAACCTCTGAAGACGACTGTCACCGTCTTCATCCCCAGTTATATTTCTGTTGCAGAGCAAAAACAAATGTGTGGATATAAATGTGTGTCCTGTGATTGCATGTTATGAAATGAAATGAAATTGAGAACACATGGGTAGACAAGTGCACTTCTGGGAACTGTAGGACAAAAAGATTAAGTTCAGGATAAGAACGCATAGCCATTGCAGTTATTATGCATGGAAAACATCTTCCCTTTCTCTTCCAAAGCATGTGTGTGAACAGGGTTGTCCTTAGCACTCTTTTGGTTGCAAGAAACTACAATGCATCCACAACTCCTTAAACCCCTGACCCAGGGGGCAGAAGTAGAGCTTCCTAGGCTGGGTCTGGGTATTCTCTCCGTGTCATTGGATAGCTGTTTCCCACCAGCCCACAGTTTATTTTCCCTATGTTGGTTTTATTCTCAAGAGTCTTCTTCCTCAATTGGGAGAGAAAGACATCAAAAGCCCCTGGTCTATAATCCAGCCATCAGGGAGCCAGAGATTAGGGGCTGATGGTCGTTGGGAAGGCTGGAACACATTCTCCCTTGACCGAGCCTGAGTAACCATGGGCCAAACCTTAGACCTGAAACTACCCATAAGCCTGTCGTTTGAGGACAGCTATCCCCAAATCACAACCTGAAACCAGAAGAAAGGTGTTTTTTCCAAAGAGAAGTGGTGCTGTTCCCATGTGTGGGAGGAAAAGCGGCTGCAACAGCAGATGGCCTGTTGCTCACTCAGCCTCATTCCATTTAGGCTGCTTTCTTCCGTTGCCTGGTGTGCATTGTCTCTGAGTTACGTGGGTTCTTCTAATATCCAATCTGTTGGGTAAAAACGTGATGTGCTACAAACTCCACTCCAAATACATTAGGTTAGGCCATAATAAAAACTCTGAAATATTTATTGAAAACTGCTCAATTAAATGTTTTAAATTTACACTTTTCTCATCAAAATATACAGCTTCCTACATAAGTATGTATCTCTGTGTACATACATGTGCATGTGTACACACATATGCATTATGGTATTGACTATAAACCAACTTACCTCTCTCTCCACCAACTCTCCTGTTCTTCCTTTCCAGCCTGGCATTGTTCCAAAACTAGGAATACAGCATTGAACTAGAGAGATCTGTTCCTTGCTTCATGAAACTTGCTTTATGGAGATTAGAGGTGAGAGAGAAAATAAACAAGTAAATATGACCTAGCACTGGATGACATTCCTCAATCAGCTGAGAGATGGGTCTGCCCCTATGGAGTTGGCATCTGGGCTTTTAAAGGATCAGGGCCGCACCCAGAAGCTGAGTTTCCTGCTTTACAGCTCCAGGGAGGCTCAATTGCTTGGAGAGCTGGTGTGAGCTCTCCTGGCCTCTTCCCTTTCATCTTTTGCAGCTCCTCCTTTGAGGGAAGCTTCTCCCATGAAGGAGGAAGAGCCTGGAGAGGCTCCATGGACCCTTCCTCACCCTGCCCCACTGCGGTCTTATTGTTTAAAAATTTAAAATTTTATACAAATAGAAACATATGATGCACCTGGAGTTGTTTGCTGAATTCAAATCCTCTTTCATATTTGTGCATAACGTTACATATATCCTATAATACCTCAAAGTATGATTTTCGATGCTTTTCTGTCTCAAGTCATTGTGTCATTACATTTTAATCTACAGGAGAGATTTAGACTCTCCAAGGAAAAAAGAGCACATAAAATGAGATAAGCCTCAGAACCTTGTGAGGGTTGCTATGTATGATTACCCCACAATACCAAAGTCTTCAGAGTAATGCAGCTAAGCCTTTATCAATTGCTTTTTCAGGTTTTTGCAGTTGGAGCATAATCTCCCTGGAATGCTCTGAATCTTATCCTTCACATGACCTTGTAAGAAACCAGAGTATGCACAGATTCAATATGGGAAGTGCTCGGCAACCTGTTTCAAAGCTCTGGGTAAAAGTTTGCAGGGATTAAAAGGAGTGGGTGACTGCAATTAAATTACCCTTGGAACCTGGTGTTACTTATGTTCCTTAAGGATCAAGACATCTCAGCTATTTCATAAAAGAAATTATATTTGGCATCTAACAAGAGATAAAACCTGAGCAAGGAGACTCGCTCTCTGTCCCAACCTTTAGACGTGGAGCCCAGTCTTTCAGATTATGTTCATCTAGGGCCATATTGCATGGATTTTTACCCCAGTTGTGAGATCTTGATGCAGTTACTATCTCAATTCCTCAGTTTCTACATTGTAAAATGGGATCGATAGCAGCATTCACCTGGGAGCACTGTCAGGAGAAAAGAGGAGTCACATAGTGAGTCTGCGCTGGGTCCACAGTAAGTCCACAGTAAGTTCAAGCCTTCAAAATTGTGATGAAAACATTTCCACTGCTCACAGGAATCATGTGCAGGGTTTGGGGTGAGGGAACAAGGAGGTTTTATGGGGAGAATAAGCTGGAAGTTGGATGCGATTAAAAATCTAAAAGTAATAATGTGGTGGTGAAAGAATTCTGGACCAGGAGTCAAGAGGTCTGGATTTAGTTCTGGCTCTGTGTCCAATGAATTGTGTGACTTGGGCTGAACAAATGTTTTCTGGGCACCTACCAATTGCCAGGTACTAGGATTCAGAGACCAATAAAACACTGTCCATGTTCAACAGACATTCACAGACTTACAGAAGAGAAAATTAAGTGAACACAGATATAAAACCCTGTGTGAACCACACCACAAAGCAATTACAGAAAGGGGAATTCCTGTAATTTATATTCTCTGGGAGGGTCAAGGAAGGCTTCCCAGAGGCAGGATTGAAGCAAGACTAGGAGTTAATAATGTGAGAACACAGTTGAGGAAGGGGAGTCAGACAGACTTGGGTTAAAAACTCAAACCAGCCTCTTGGAGTTGAGTAAAACCGGGTAAGTTATTTACCTTGCTTGAGCCTCAGTTTTCTCCTTTGTGAACCACCTGTTTTGCTGGATTCTGAGAAGGATTAGAAATAATACATAAAAAGCATCCAGCCAGGATCATTCATGTAAGTTAAGTATTATGCACATGGTAAAACACACTTATATGTCCCTTTGCCCTCAAAAACCCTTTTCAGCCCTCACACTCTAAGCCTCTATGCATCAGACCCAAAGGAATGTTATGTTGTCACCTCCGGGTGCAGTTTTAAAGACTGCTATGAACTTTACTGGAACTGAAAGTTTAATGTGGAAAGTTTCACGAATGGTTGTTGGTTCAGGTAGAGAGCCTGAGTGAATAGAAACATGACTATATTTCTAAATTTCACCAGCTTTTCTGCTGGGCAAGGCAAAGGTTAGTCATTTATTCTGCCTTTTACTTCTCTTTCATTTCTTGTGGGAAGCTGTTCCAACTAACAAATTATCATTCATCCTATTCTCTCCATTTTGATGGGCAAGACATACCACCCAACGTTCTAAAATCAAAGGGAAAACTCTCTCTAGAGAAAATTTCATGCCTCTCACCCTACCCAAACCAAGAGAGACTTCTTTCCCTGGATTGAGAAGCCCAAATTCGAAACTGCAGTCTTATTCACAAACTTACCAGTTTGAGAACTCAGCTGGATTGCAGAAATGAGCCCACATTGTACCATCAACTGTAAAGGAAGAAGGAAACTCAAAGATCTTTTGGCCCTTATTGTCCCTGCAAATGAGGAAACCCAGACTGTGACAGGTGCAGCAACTCACCGAGGTTCCGAGGCTAGCTTAGGAACAAAGTCAGGAAGAGAATTTTAATTCCAGACTCATAGACCAGTGCTCTTTTTCCCCTGCAAAGTCAGTCTTTCCAAATAGCCACCATGTTCATGTGCCTAGAAACTCAAATGTAATCAAACACAGCCCTCAGATCGCATGTTTGGGAAACTTGATCAATACAATACTAACAGAGCTGGAGGAAAAAAAGATGAAGATTAAAAACAAATGCACAGGAGCTTAAGTCACGTGTTACAATCTAGCAGGATGCTCTCTACTTTTGATACCTTTCCATGGAGTCTGTGGAGATGATGGTATTTATGATTAGAAAAAATATTAACTCTGAGAAAAGCTAAAGCATTTCAGGCTATTTTAAGAAGATAAATAGTTATTTTCCTTAATTTCAATGTGAACATTAGAAAGGACATTAGGTAAAAACTAACAAAAAAAAATCTCAAGTATAAATTGTGTGACTTGGGCTGAACCAATATTTTCTGGGCACCTACTAATTGCCAGGTATTTGTTCAGCCCATGTCACACAATTGATCTCTGATCAATAAAACACTGTTCCTGTTCTACAGACATTCACAGACTTATAGAAGAGAAAATTCTGTGAACACAGATATAAAGCCCTGTGTGCAATTACTCTACGTAGATGTACCTACTTTTACCCGTTATTTATTTATTTATACTATCATTTATTTATATTAGTATAAGGTATGAATTTTCTTATATTCTGGGCTATATTTCAATACCACTTTATTTTGTTGCTCAAACCATTCCAGATTTTGCCATGGAGAGCTCATTCCGTTGACTTAAATGTCTTTTTTACGTACCCCCAAAATTATGTTTCTTCTCCTCCTCCTCCTCGTCCTGGTCCTTTCTCCTTGTTCTTGCTTCTTCCTTCTCCTTCCTTCTTCCTTCTCTTCTTTCTTCCTCCTCCTCCCTCTTTCTTCTTTCTTTCTGTCCCTACTAGATGTTCCAGACTCATCTTGTATTAATATATTTCCTGTACATGAATAGTACATGAATTTGCTATTTCCGGAAGAATCACTGGTCCTTTCATTGGAGAATAGTATTATAAACCAAGATCTGAGCATTTGGTGTATAAGTGGCACATACATGCATATACATATATACATATACATATTTCTATAACAACTGTATCTCTATTAAGCTAAACATGAGTTCATACTGAATGCTCCAATTCTTATTCTAACACAGTTCATTCTAGCCTGCTTCCTTTGCTTATTGGTAAACTGTAGGAGCTAGGTTTAGCTCCTACCACCTAGAACCCATTTACTGAAATGTTCAATTCTAGGATACATTTATATACTGGTATCAAAATTGTTAACATCTATCCCTATGGAAAACAATTTATCAACTAGAGTACAGTGCTTATGCACAGTTTCATTTGCCTTTACTCTTACAGGTTTCACTCATTTTCAAAGTTATTTAGGTCAGCACCTATTCTCCAACTACCCCCAGGGATATTGTTTCTCCAACTTCACTAATGTTTATCTCAGTGAGGTTGTTGATTACACTTGTAATACCGTTAGATTCTTTTGTCACTTTCTGCATTTAATCCTAGGATCCCTGAGCCTTCTAAATAATTTATTTTATGCTGCACATATAAAGTTTCACTTCCTATACTATAAATTTCTGTGGATTTTGACAAAAGTATTGGTAGTTTTATCACTCTATAAAATCTCTTGTGCTTCACCTATTCAAAACTAGACCATGCACTGCTGAACTGAGAAAACCACTGATCTTGTAACTGCAGGGACTTGGATGGAGCTGGAAGACATTATCCTCAGCAAACTGAAATTTTGCCTTTTCAAGATTGCCAAATAACTGAAATCACGGAACATGCAGTCTTTTCAAATTGGCTTCTTTTACTTAGCAATATGCATTTACGTTTCCTCCATGTGGCATTTTGGGGAAGGATAGCTTATTTTTTTAAATTACTGAATGCTATTACATTCTATGGGTATTTCAGTTTGTTCATTCATCTATTAAAGATATTTTGGTTGTTTCCAGTTTGGGGCACATGAATGTTTCTATACATATTTATATACAGGTTTCTTTGTGAGCATATGTTTTCTAGTCAGGTAAATACCAAGGAGTGAGACATTAGATTGTATATTACAATAATGATTTGCTTTATGAGAAAATGCCAAACTGTCTTTCAAAATGGCTATGCCATTTTGCATTCCTAGCAGCAATGAGTACTTCCTTTTGCCTTGTGTCCTCTACCATATTTGGCTTTATCAGTTTTTTGGATGTTTGCCATTCTATTAATAATAGATATATAGTAATAAGTTACTATTGTTTTAACTTGCAATTCCCTGATAATGATAATTTGTGGTATTAATTTATAGATTAATTTCATTTTCTGAGAATTTGGTCTCATTTCTACTTTTAAAATACTTTAATTGTGTGCTTTATGCCTAGATTGGGTCTACTGGGTGAAGGTTCCATGAAAGCTTGAGAAGAATGTGTATTTTGTTGTTAGATGGAACAGTCTATACATGTCAATTTGATAAAGTTGTATGATAGCACTGTTCAGGTTAACTATATACTTACTGTTTTTCTGACTGCTTAAGCTATCAGTTACTGAAAAAGGAGTTATGAAATCTCCAGCTATAATAACAAATTTTTCTGTTACACCTCACCAATCTGTCAGTTTTTGCTTTACATATTTAGATTCTCTGTTGTTAGATGCATACATATTTAGAACTATTTCCCATAGTTCTTGGAAAGTTAGTCCCTTTATCATTATGCAATACCCCTCTTTATTTCTGCTAATTTTTCTGGTTCAGAAGTTTGCTTTTTCTTAAATTAATATAGCTACTCTGGCTTTTTCTTTAAACTTAGCATTAGCATGATATCTATATACATATATATATACACACACACACACACACACACACACTTTTTTTTTTTTTTTTTTTTTTTTTTTTTTTTTTTTTGAGACGGAGTCTCACTCTGTCGCCCAGGCTGGAGTGTAGTGGCATGATCTCTGCTCACTGCAAACTCCGCCTCCTGGGTTCACGCCATTCTCCTGCCTCAGCCTCCAGAGTAGCTGGGACTAGAGGTGCCTGCCACCACATCTGGCTAATTTTTTTGTATTTTCAGTAGAGACAGGGTTTCACCACGTTAGCCAGGATGGTCTCGATCTCCTGACCTCGTGATCTGCCTGCCGTGGCTTCCCAAAGTGCTGGGATTACAGGAGTGAGCCACCGTGCCTGGCCAGCATGGTATATCTTTAGCATGATGTATCTTTCTACACCCCTTTACTTTTTTTTAAATCTTCAACTTTTAAGTTCAAGACTACATGGGCAGGATGTGCAGGTTTGTTACACAGGTAAATGTGTGCCATAGTGGTTTGCTGCTCAGATTATCCCATCACCTATGTATTAAGCCCAGCATCTATAAACTATTCTTCCTAATGCTCTGCCTCCCTGGCCCCATGACAGGCTCCAGTATGTGTTGTTCCCCGCATCCCCCGCTTCCCCCTCATTTGTCCAGGTGTTCTCGTCATTGAGCTCCCACTTATAAGTGAGAACATGTAGTTTTTGGTTTTCTGTTCCGCATTAGTTTGCTGAGGATAGTGGCATCCGAAAGCTCCATCCATGTCCCTGCAAAGGACATGATCTCATTCTGTTTTATGGCTTCATAGTATTCCTGGGGTACATGTACCACATTTTCTTTATCCAGTCTATCACTGATGGACATTTGGGTTGATTCCAAGTCTTTGCTATTGTGAATAGTGCTGTAATGAACATATGCATGCATCTTTATAATAAAATGATTTATATTCCTTTGGGTATATACCCAGTAATGGGATTGCTGGTTCAAATGGTATTTCTACCACTAGATGTTTGAGGAATTGCCACACTGTCTTCCACAATGGGTTGAACTGCCACCAACGGTGTAAAAGCCTTCCTTTTTCTCTGCAACCTCACCACCAGCATCTGCTGTTTTTTGACTTTTTAATAACTGCCATTCTGACTGGCATAAGATGGTATCTCATTGTGATTTTGATTTGCATTTTTTAAATGATCAGTGATGTTGAGCTTTTTTTCATGTTTGTTGTCCACAAGTATGTCTTCTTTTGAGAAGTGTCTGTTCACATCCTTTGCCCACTTTTTAATGGGGTTGTTTTGTTCCTGTCAATTTAAGTTCCCTGTAGACTCTCAATATTGGACCTTTGTCAGATGGTTAGATTGCAAAAAAGGTCTCTTATTCTGTAGGTTATCTGTTCATTCTTCTGATAGTTTCTTTTGCTGTGCAGAAGCTCTTTAGTTTAATTAGATCCCATTTGTTGATTTTTCCTTTTGTTGCAATTGCTTTTGTCATTTTTGTCATGAAATCTTTGCCTGCACCTATATTCTGAGTCATATTGCCTAGATTTTCTTCCAGGGTTTTTATAGTTTGGGGTTTCACATTTGTCTTTAATCCATCTTGAGTTAATTTTTGTATATGGTGTAAAGAAGGGGTCTAGTTTTAATCTTCTGCATATGGCTAGCCAGATATCTCAAAACCATTTATTAAATAGGGAATCCTTTTGCCATTGCTTTTTTTGGTCAGGTTTGTTAAAGACCAGATGGTTACAGGTGTGAGTGGTTATTTCTGAGTTCTCTATTCTGTTTCACTGGTCTGTGTGTCTGTTCTTGTACCAGTATGTGCTGTTTTGGTTACTGTAGCCTTGTAATATAGTTTAAAGTCAGGTAGCATAACATCTCCAGTGTTTTCCTTTTTATTTAGGATTCCCTTGGCTATTAGGGCTCTTTTTAAGTTTCATATGAATTTTAAAATATTTTTTTTCTAATTCTGTGAAGTATTAGAAAGTACATCAGTAGTAGTTTAATGGTAATAGTATTGAATCTATAAATTGCTTTGGGCAATATGGCTATTATCACAATATCGATTCTTCCTAACCATAAGCATGTAATATTTTTCCATTTGTTTGTGTCATCACTGATTTCTTTGAGCAGTGTTTTGTAGTTTCCCTGAAAGATGTCCTTCACTTCCCTTGTTAGCTGTATTCCTAAGTATTTTATTCTCTTTGTAGCAATTGTGAATTGGATTTCATTCATGATTTGGATTTCTACTTGCCTATTGTAGGTGTATAGAAATGCTAGCAATTTTTGCACATTGATTTTTTGTCCTGACACTTTGCTGAGGTTACTTATCAGCTTAAGAAGCTTTTGGGCAGACATGATGGGGTTTTCTAGATATAGTATCATATCATCTGCAAACAGGGATAATTTGACTTTCTTCCTATTTGGATGCCTTTTATTTCTTTCTTTTGCCTGCCTGTCTTGGAGAGAACTTCCAATACTGTGTTTAATAGGAGTGGTGAGAGAGGGCATCCTTGTCTTGTGCCAGTTTTCAAGGGGAATGCTTCCAGCTTTGGCCCATTCAGTATGATACTGGCTATGGGTTTGCCATATATGGCTTTTATTATTTTGAGGTATGTCTCCTCAATACCTAGTTTATTGAGAGTTTTTAACATGAAGCGATGTTGAATTTTATCGAAGGCCTTTTCTGCATCTATTGAGATAATCATGCAGTTTTAGTTCTGTTTATGAGATGAATCAAATTTATGGATTTGCATATGTTGAATCAACCTTGTATCCTGAAAATGAAGTCAACTTGATCATGATGGATAAATTTTTTGATGTGCTGCTGCATTCAGTTTGCCAGTATTTCACTGATAATTTTTGGTTCAATTTTCTTCAGGGATATTGGCTTGAAGTTTTCTTTTTTGTTGTTGTATCTCTGCCAGGTATCTATGCTGGCCTCATAGAATGAGTTAGTGGGGGAGTCTTTCCTTCTCAGTTATTTGGAATAGTTTCAGTAGAAATGGTACCAGCTATTCTTTGTGCCTCTGGTAGAATTCAGCTGTACATCTATTTGGTCCTGGGCTTTTTTTTTTTTTTTTGGTTGGTAGGCTATTTATTACTGCCTCAATTTTAGAACTCATTATTGGTCTATTTGATTTCTTCCTGGTTCAGTCTTGGGACAGTGTATGTGTCTAGGAATTTATCCATTTCTTCTACATTTTTTAGTTTATGTTCATAGACGTGTTTGTAGTATTCTCCAATCATTGTTTGTATTTCTGTGGGGTCTGTGGTGATATCTCCCTTATTTCTGATTGTGTTTATTTCAGTCTTCTCTCATTTTTTCTTTGTTAGTCTAAGCTAGAAGTCTATCTAATTTATTTTTTTAATAAACCAATTCCTCGATTCTTTGATTTTTTGAAGAGTTTTTTGTGTCTCTATCTCCTTCAGTTCTAATCTTGGTTATTTCTTCTCTTCTGTTAGCTTTGGTTTTTGTTTGCTCTCGGTTCTCTAGTTCTTTCAGTTGTGATGTTAGGTTGTTAACTTGAGATCTTTTTAGACTTTTGATGTGGGCATTTAGTGCTGTAAATTTCCTTCTCAAAACCACTTTATCTGCATCAAAGAGATTCTGTTACATTGTCTTTTGGTTCCTATTAGTTTCAAATAAGTTCTTGATTTTTACCTTAATTTCATTATTTGCCCAGGATTCATTCAGTAGAAGGTTGTTTGATGTGCATGGAGTTGTGTGGTTTTGAATGAATTTCTTTATCTTGAGTTCTAATTTGATTGCACTGTGGTCTTAGAGATTGTTATGATTTCGGTTCTTTTACATTTGCTGAGAGTGTTTTACTTCTGATTATATGATCAATTTTAAGGTAAGTGCCATGTGGCAATGAGAATAATGTGTATTATGTTGTTTCTGGGTGAAGAGTTCTGTAGATATCTGTCAGATCCACTTGATCCAGAGCTGAGTTCGGGTCCTGAATGTCTTTGTTAATTTTCTATCTCAATGATTTGTCTAATATGGTCAGTTGCGTGATCAAAGTTTCCCACTATTGCTGTGTGGGAGTCTAAGTCTCTTTGTAGGTCTCTAAGAACTTTATGAATCTGGCTGCTCCTGTGTTGGGTGCATATACAGTTTGGACAGTTAGCTGTTCTTGTTGAATTGAACCTTTTACCATTGTGTAATGTGCTTATTTGTCTTTTTAAATCTTTGTTGGCTTAAACTTTGTTTTATCAGAAACCAGAACTGCAATCCTTGCTTTCCTTGTTTTCCATTTGCTTGGTTAAATTTTCCTCCATCCCTTTATTTTCAGCCTATGTGTGTCTTCACATGTGAGAGATGTCTCTTGAATACAGCACACTGATGGTCTTTACGCTTTATCCAGCTTGCCATTCTGTGTCTTTTAATTGAGGCATTTATCCCATTTACATTTAAGGTTAATATTGTTATGTGTGAATTTGATGCTGTCATCATGATGCTAGCCAGTTATTTTGCAGACTTGTTTTTGTAGTTGCTTCATACTGTCACTGGTCTGTGTAATTCAGTGTGTTTTTGTAGTAGCTGGTAATGGTTTTTCGTTTCCATATTTAGTACTTCCTTTAGAAGCTCTTGCAAGTTATGCCTGAATTCCCTCAGCATTTGCTTGTCTGGAAAGGATTTATTTCTCCTTTGCTTATGAAGCTTAGTTTGGCCAGATATAAAATTCTGGCTTGAAAATTCTTTTCTTTGGGGGTCAATATTTCACATTCTTAATCTCTTCTGGCCTGTAGGGTTTCCATTGAGAAGTCCACTATTAGTCTGATGGATTTCCCTTTGTAGGTGACCTGGCCTTTCTCTCTGGCTTCCCTTAACATTTTTTCTTTCATTATGGCCTTGGAGAATCTGATGATTCTGTGTCCTGGTGCTGATCTTCTCATGGAGTATCTTACTGGGGTTCTTTGAATTTCCTGAATTTGAGTGTTGGCTTGACTTTCCAGGTTAAGGAAGTTCTCCTGGATGATATCCTGAAGTAT